CCGGCTGGGGAGTGGGAGTGCTGCAGCGCTTGCTGGCCGCCCCGGGGGAGGGGCAAGTGGCCCTGGAACGGGGGGGTCCCGACACACCTGGGTGTACCCCAACCTCGCCCACTGATTCCCCCGGGCGTAAGGATGGTTTACCCACTCCATGGCCCCTAAGAACTTAGGACTCCGCGGCCTCTCGAGGTCCCAGACATCATTCCTCTCCCCTGCAGCGCCTTGGGACCCCGGCATCTCCTAACCCCCCCACCTCCAAAAAAATTCCCATCCTCTCTGCTGCCGGGAGAGGCATTAAGGACTTCAATTCCCATCAGCCCTTGCAGCGTCTGGCCTATGAAGCCGCAGCAACGCGAGCGCAAGGCCTGCCGGGAATTGTAGTCTCTAAGCTTAACGGGAGCTGGGGGCCCGGAGGTGGGAGGGGGTGGCTGGACCTCCCGGGGGAGGTCGCCTGGGGTCGAGCAGCTGGCCCGAGCAGGACAAGATGTGAGGCTCGAACTGAGCTTTTTCTCACGGCCGCGGCCTCCAGATCCGGCACCCCCTCCCACCACCTGGCTCGTGGGGACAGGTCCGCAGCCCCTTGTCCACTCTGCAACCCCCATGGGCTACCGCCAGCCGCCGCCTCGGCTGCCATCCAGGACACGGCAGGGATAAGTGCAGGTGAGTCTGACCATGACTGTCTCGGAGTCCTGGCCTTCTGCTGCACCCCACGACACCTGTCCATCTGTGAGCCCCGATCTGTCCATCTCTGATTTCCTCTGCACCCTCCTTCCAGTACATCTCTGATGTCTAGTTCCAAACCATGTGTGGCTAATTCCCCTTCTCCCCACAGCCACCTCTTTCTCTTGGTCCCCTTTCTTTTATGGCCACCGGCATCCAATCTTCTTTCTGCACCCATGTCTGTCCTCCCAGCCCTCCTCTGTATCCTTTTGTCCACCTGTGATCTCTGGCCCTTATCTGGCTGCCTTTATCTCTGCACCCCATCCATTCTCCCGTCCACTGTTTGTCTCTCAAAGATATTTCTGTCCATACTCTCGCCTGGCACTTATCACTGCCCCTCTGTCCGCCCATCTCTCACACTCCCATGAATTATACACCAGCCCATTCTTTAGGGTTTGTCCATCCCAAGTCTCTCTAACATTCTCTCTGTCTGTTCATCTGTTCCTGTCTTCTGGGCCCCAGTCTGTCCTTCTCATTACCTCAGTCTACCCTCCCCTCATCTCCCCCTCTCTCAACTTGGTCCCCATCTCTGCATCCTTCATCTCCATTCCTCCCCAGCCAGACCACACATTACCATCTCCTATCTCTCTCTATCCCCATACATCTCTCTCTCTGTCCTCTCCCTGTCTACACCTTCCTGTTCCTTGGAACTGCCAGGCTCTTTCCCACTCTGGGCCATTGCTCATGCTATTGCTGCTGCTTTGAAAGCTTTTCCCTGTTCTAGCCCGACTGCCTGTGCCTGGCTCCATCTCACCCTTCAGGTCTCAAAGAGCTTCCCCCAACTGCCCACCTCCAGGTCCCTTGGTGACACATCTTCCAACTGTTTCTTTAAGAGCACTTCTCACAGTCTGAGAACTGTGTGTTTATGTGTGTATGTTTGTTTGTGTGTGTTTGTTGACTTGCTTACTCTTTGTCTCCTCTCATTGGAATGTGACACCAGGAAGCTGGGGACTGCGTGGGGTTTGTCCCCTGCTGGATCTGCAGCAGCCAGCATGGTGCCTGGCATGTAGTTGGTGCTCAATGAATATTTATTGAAGGCAAGAATGAGGAATGGCTGTCCCCTTGCCTGTCCACCCCTAAATACTGTCTCTTCATCTATGCACCCCTAATCTTTGTCTCCTTGTCTGTCCATCCCTTTATTTGTGCATCCTTAATCTCTACCCCTTGACTGGCCTTCCCATTCTCTTCCTCCTTGTCCATCGGTCTCTATTCTGTGTCTTCTCTACATGCCACTTCCCAACCCCTTGCTTGCCCAAGCCCTGTTACTATCTTCTAGCCTGTCTACCTTGAATTTCAATCCTCTGGTCCATTTGCCCCTAATTTCTTTTTCCTTGTCCATTCCTCCCTTAATCTCCATCCCCTTGTCCATCTATTCCCAATCTCTGTCCCCTTGTCATTCTGCCCCCAATCTCTGTTCCCTTGCCTATCCTTCCTTTTCTGTCTCTTTTCACCCTTTACCCATCCCCTCTCCCTCATCCCATTCCCTATCTGCACCCTTGCCCGGCCCCTCCCAAGCGCAGGACCCGCTGGCCACCATGTCAGGAGACTACGAGGATGACCTCTGCCGTCGGGCACTCATCCTGGTCTCAGATCTCTGTGCGCGGGTCCGAGATGCCGACACCAGTGACAGGTGCCAGGAGTTCAACGACCTGCGAATCCGAGGCTATCCCCGGGGCCCAGATGCAGGTCAGCACCCCCAGCCATCTTGGCCAGCCCCCTGCTTCCACTACTACCAGGATTTTCAGAGTCTCAGAGGAGAACACATTCAGTTTTCTGTTCCTGGTGGGGCCAGTTCCTCCTAGAGTCTTGCCTCCATCCTGCCTGTTGCTGGTCCCCCAAACCTCTCATCTAAGGAGAAGGAGCTGTGTGGTCCATTTGACCTTGACCATTTGGATTTCACTCTGTGGGCCTCCTGCTCACCCTCCCCCACCCCAACCCCACTGCTACCATATATCCCCTTCAGGTGTCTTTGAGCACCTCACATAGCTACTTAGAAGCTCAGGCTCTCGAGTCAGCCTGACTTGTCGGGGTTCAAATCCCACCTCCTCCACTTAGTAAATGGATGGCATCTTCTGTGCCTCAGTTTCCTTATCTGGAAAATGAGAATAATGGAAGTGACTACTTCCTGGGGCACCTGACAAACTCAAATGATACATCAGGGGTGAAGTGCTAAGAACAAGCTGAGCACACAGTGGTCATTCAGCACATGTTGGGATGTCCTTACTGAGCATCGAGTGGGTACCAGGCAGTGTGCAAGGCCCATTATGTACTTCATCAACTGCTCACGACGGCCCTTTGTGGTCCCTATAATCCCTATTTTCAGAAGGGGAACAGGCTCAGGAGGGTGGTGATTGGCTCCAGGCCACTCAGCTAGGAAGCAGCGGGGTTCTGAGAGCTAGGAAGGATCGTGAGTGCCCTCGTCCAGATGAGGAGTCTGGAGGTAACATGAGCTGGAAGGTTGCACCAATGCTCACACTTGCTGAGGGCCGGGGTGGGGCTCAGAATCTCACGTGCAGGATGTCCAGGGGACCACGATGAGGAACGAGGTCCAGAGAGCACTGTCTCAAAGTCTGTACTCAGAAGAGCCAGATTTTTAAAAAATATTTTTATTTTTAATTTTTATCTATTTTTTTTCTTGTTTGGGGGTGAGTAATTAGGTTTGTTGGTCTGGGTTTTTTTGTTGTTGTTGTTTATTTAATGGAGGTACTGGGGATTGAACCCCATGCATGCTAAACATGCGCTCTGCCACTGAGCTATAACCTCCCCACCCCTAGATTTTGACCCCAGGAAGTCTAGTACACTACTGCAATTTGGGGGGGGGTCCCAAGACCACCCTCAGGTTCAGTGATCTGTAGAAAGACTTACAGAACTCATAAAAGCTGTTGTACACACATGGTTACATTTTACAACAGGAAAAGGATGAAGATTAAAATCAGCAAAGAGAAAAGAGGCATAAGGTTGGATGCAGGAGCGACCAGGCGGGAGCTTCCACTGGTCCTCTCCTGATGCAGCTATGCGGACAAGGTTTAACTCTCTCAGCAACGATGTGTG